CACACTGATTCCTTACCAACACTTCATGAGATTCTGCCCTAGACTATGGCCAAAATCCCCACTTCTTGAAACAGCCTTTGTGTCAAAAGCATTCCATAAAATGATGCTGTCTAGGTTGGCGACTCAGAATAAGGAGTGCATGATGTTGACGTTTGCATTTTGTCAGTGTGAGTTTGTCATTGTTAGTGTGAATTGTTGCAACCCAGGGAGATTTCCTGTTGGTCTAACGGGAGCTTCCTGTAAGTCATCCTGTTTTGGGTGTAGTTTGAAGAGTAGCTCTCTTGTACTGACTCTATAGGTCACTACAGTTATCTCTGCTAATATTAGATTGGTTTAAATGTGAGGAAATGCATAATAACTGAAAAAACAACCCAGTAATCTCTAATGCAGGGAGAATAATACTTCTATAAGGACCTGACTGATGTACCCTTGGTCCTTTTCCCGTTTGTGCCCTCTCCTTCTGCGTGTATCCTACCTCATGTCCCTGCTCTCCTCCACCTTGGCCTCCTCCATGTCTTCCTGCTCTTTTGACTCCGCCTCTTCCCTCCACCAGGATTGTGGAGATCGCCGCCTGTCACTCCACACACACCTCTGCAGCAAAGACCCAAAGCGGTCAGGTGTTCATGTGGGGGCAGTGCCGCGGACAGCCCATCGTGCTGCCACAGCTCACGCACTTCACCAGCACGGACGACGTCTTCGCCTGCTTCGCCACGCCGTCTGTGATGTGGCGGATGCTTTCCATGGGTGAGTTTGAGTTGTCATCCATCATTGTTCTGATGCTTAGTTCTCTTTGGCTGCTCTGTTGTTTGAATCTTAATGCAGTTACAGTATTTCATACTGCTGTTATTTAATGCGCATTAATGTGTTATTTAATACGCAATTGAAACAGATTCTGCAGAAATTGATGGAGTCACTGCTGTTACATAACTGTGCTGTATTTGTTATCAGAGCATGATGACTTCCTGACCGTGGCCCAGTCCCTTAAAAAAGAGTTTGACAACCCTGAGACCTCTGACCTCAAATTCAGCGTCGACGGGAAGTACATCCATGTCCATAAAGCTGTTCTCAAAATCAGGTGATGTCCTCACTCCAGTTTCATGATTAATAATTGTTGCATTAAAGTTCTCAGTTAGTTACTGATAATTACAACTTTATTCTCTTTTATCCCATTTCTGTCTCCTGATTTCAGGTGTGAGCACTTCAGATCAATGTTTCAGTCACACTGGAATGAGGATATGAAGGAAGTGATTGAGATCGACCAGTTCTCGTACCCGGTGTACCGCTCTTTCCTGGAGTTCCTCTACACCGACAGTGTGGATCTTCCTCCTGAGGATGCCATTGGTGCGTTCATTTTAGGATTTGGTTTTACAGAAAAATATTCCAGCAAACTTATAGATGAGTATAAGAACCCCTTTAAAATGGACCGAAACTACACCAAGTAGAAAAAACCTATTACTCTTACCTAGCCTTAAAGTGGACTCCTATCTCATTTTTGTTGGCAGGTTGCAGTTCACTTTCCATTCACACTATTGTATTTTTGGACTATACGTCTCTAAAATAATCTATAAAGTAAAATATGATTGATTCTTATTATTCTTAATTATTATAATTATTATCATTATTATTACTATTGTTATTTACAATAATATAATTATTACAACAGCAATGATAACAATAATACATCAGTAATAATTTGTTGTTGTTGTTATTAACAATAGAATAGTTATTATTTACATTAACAACAATAATAATACACCAATAATGGTTAGTTATTATTTACACTAATATAATAAATTTTATTTTAAAAAATACATTGATGATGATAATAATAATAATAATATTTTTTTTCTAAGTAACATTTTTACAACAACAATAACAATAATACACCAGTAATAAGTTATTATTGTTATTATTTACATTCATATAATTATTATTTACAATAACAATAATAGCAGTGAATCAATAATGCTCAGTTGTTGTTTATTATTATTGTTATTATTTACATTAATATTATTATTATTTACAATAACAATAATAGCAGTAAATCAATAATGCTCAGTTGTTGTTTATTATTATTGTTATTATTTACAATAATTTAAAAATGTTAATAACCAAATTTAGTATTGTATGCTTCTGTGTTATTTTATATGTTTAATGTCTGTGTTATTTGTATACATGTTAACCATGTATTTGCAAAGAATGTTATAAAACAAAAGAAAATTCAGGATGGTTGGAACATTTTTTGTACCCATCAAAAAATGAATGGATTTGGATGTATCTCACAGGGTTACTGGATCTGGCAACCTCATACTGTGAAAACAGGCTGAAGAAGTTGTGCCAGCATATCATAAAGAGAGGAATCACGGTGGAGAACGCTTTCTCTCTGCTGTCTGCTGCCATCAGATATGATGCTGAGGTAACACTAAACCACGCTGGAGGCCTGGCTTGCCAGAGCACTTAAGCAGACACCTGTTTTACCTGTTAGCTCCTTTCTGTCTCATTTTGTTTGTTTGCTCTTTGCAATTAATCAAGTAAAATCCTTTTGAAAGGTAATACAGAAACTCAATATTGTAAGCTTGTAATGCTAATCATGGATGGTAATGTTGATTGTTCTTGCACGCTTGTTCAGTCACTCATAATTGCACATTCATGCTTTCTTTCATGTGAAGGATCTAGAGGAGTTCTGTTTTAAATTCTGTGTGAACCACTTGACTGAGGTCACGCAGACAGCTGCATTCTGGCAGATCGACGGCAACATGCTGAAGGAGTTTATCTCCAGAGCCGGCCACTGTGGAGCCTTCAAAAACTGACTCTGACAGCCACCAGATACATGCACGCTCAGTGTGTTAGTCAAGGAACCCATCTGTCCTCCTCACAGCTAGTGAGCGCTGTGACACCAGACAGTCATTAACGCACAGCGCCCCCTGTTGAGCAGGAGAGGAACTTTCATAATGGTTAAGATTCATGTAGAAGGGTCAATGTCTGTGTTAGTCTCATCTACAACCATTTCGTACTCATCTGTTACCGAAGATATTCAGCCAGATGGGACATTCCCATTTATGTTTTACACAACTTTTTGGAAAAGACATTGCCTAGTGCTAATGATCATTTCTAGTGCTGCAGATGGGAAGGGTGTTTGCACACTATATTAAAATGGGAGTGGGTTTGGGCTAAACAGAGGCATAATTTAATTGTATTACTTAAACATGCACCACTAAAAAGCTGACAGAGACTAATTCATTGTTTTTGTTTGTCCCTTATACGTTTTTGCACAGGTAATATTGAATAGAGGTCACTAATCAGATTTCTTTCTTGCAGTGATGCAGTGCATTACAAGTTGCTCGTTGTTATTCTATTCTATTGGCTGGGATCTGTAAATGTGCATTATATCAGATACAGTCAGCAGACCTTATTGATGTGGCCCCTTATGTTGTTGACTCATTTTTGTCTTAATGTTATTGACCAAAATAATTTCTGCTATGTGATGTTTTTGTTTTGGCTTGATTTGAGTCTTAAAACGTAGGCATTTTTTTCCCTTCAGATTAGGAAGACCACTGTCTGCTATCGCTTAGTTCAGTATGTGCTGCCACTGTGAATTACTAAAGCAGCATGTACAACAATGACTGTTGCACTTAACCAGTCTGATGTTTAAGTTTGCTCAAATATAAAGAGTATTATTCATAGTTGCACTAGTAGTTTCCTGTACAGGAGCTGCTCATGTAAGATCACTAGAGGGTGTATATGAATCTTTACAGTTGCACCTTTTTAAAGGTGTGAAACACTTCATAATACTAATGCCTATGGTAAGATTTTTTTTTTGTTACATATTAACCAACTGTATTTGTTTTTCACATGTATATACTGTACAGTTTTTGCATTAGTTTTGTAAATTAATCTGTGCACATTATGTGTGCCACAGTTTCTCTTGTAAGTTATAAAACCTGATACTATAAAGATAAATAAAGCTTTTGTTATAAGTTGCATTGGGTATTTTTTTAATTATGTATACCAATATGCCAGCATATTTATTTTTTGTAGCTGTATCTATTTAGAGTGTAAAACATGTGATATGGGAATAGTAGGGTTTAACTTCATAACACATGAATCAGATTTTATTATGCCTTTGTTTAAAATTATTTAATAAAATTATAAAGTGAATGTAATTATTTTAGTTAATTTATTTTACGTCATTTAATAATTTTATTAATTATTCATTTCAGCAATAGCATTAATTTGTTTATAAATGTGACTAATTAAAGTTCCTGAATGTCATCCTGTAGTTTGATTTCTCATTAAATGAAACTACTATTAATTATCAGAATGGTTAAATCCTGAACAGATGAAATGAGTAAATGTCCAGAAATGATGTATACACACGCACTTAATTCACAGGTTTGGCTATTTCAGCTACGCCCATTAGCTGGTGTGTAAAATCATATTTTGTAATAGAAGAGATTGTACAGTCAGTGCCTCAGTCTGCCACTGCTATATATGGCATCAGTCAAAGATGAATGAGTCTGTGTGGAAGAATTTGACTGGCCTGCCCAGATCTGAACCCCACTGAAGACTTTGGTGAGTCAGACCATCTCCCAGCATCACTGATGCTCCTGTGACTGAATGAGAGCAAATCCCTGCATCCATGTTCCAGTATCTTGTAGAAGATTGCAAGCTGCTAGAGAAGACCAACTGTCTGTTAATGCAATGGTTGTTAAATTCTATGTCCATTGGGCAGTTCTGGGTGTGGTGTTTGGGTCTCCACATACTTTTGGTATGCTGTGTAAATAATATTTTTACTGTATGCTATAAATCAGATTTCTAGGGAATAGAAACAGGCGAGCCTGAGGCTTCGCCAGCTGAGGAAGTTCAACCTGTCACAGGAGCTGCTGAAACAGTTCTACTCTGCTATCACTGAATCCATCCTCTGCACTTCTATAACTGTCTGGTTCAGCTCAGCTACCAAATCTGACCTCAGAAGACTACAGAGGGTAGTCCGGACTGCTGAGCGAATCATTGGTACAACCCTCCCTTCTCCCCAAGAACTGTACTCATCCAGAGTGACCAAAATGTGCAAAAATCTTTGCGTGCACTTTGCGGCCCAAATGTGCACGCAAAGAAAGAAGGCGTGGTTTCAGTAACCGCAGTTAGTGTTGAAGCAGCATGTCACCTGGCAATAAAGCTCATTCTGATTCTGATTCATTCTGATTCTGAGCCTTTAAGAACAGATGACCCGCCTACTGGTGACATCAGGAGCGGACGTCAGCGCAAATAGGAAGAGGACAGCATGAAGGCGGACGGGCTGTTGTTGTTCTGAGCTGTTTAGTCAATGACAGGTCAATGTTGATCGCGGTTGAATGGCAGCATCCGACAGTCGGCGGTCTCACCGGGATTTCGAGGGAAACCGATCAATTCCAAACGGCGAGGAAGTGCGCAATGTGAGGGATACCGGAGTACAGACGGATGCCAAAATACAAGGTTAGATTATCCTGTCAGTGTCTCCTTATGGTAATCAGACTCCAGTGGATGGCCCAACTTTACAGTGTTTTGCCAAAGGCGCTTCTTTTCTTCAGAGCCGTTTCAGTTTTTCATTCAAGATGTTCTTTATTTTGTTGTCATTAAAACATTTATTAGCAGGTATTTATCAATTTTATTTATATTCTTATTTTATGTCTATGTCAGCAACTATATTTCAAGAGGTATTATGTTCTAATTAGAAATCTGATCAGATTTTATACTAACCATTTCCTTATAGAGACTGATCAATATTGCTTTTGTACAATAGATATAATGCAGATTATTTTAAGTGTTGCAATAACCGAATCCCGATATGCAGAACCGATTATTTTCTGTTTTTATTTTGACGAAATGACAAAAAAAATCACCCCAATAAACTAAATCAATAAGAAAAGCATAGAGAATATTTCACATTTTTAATAATAATTAATTACAATTATAATAAATGTTTTGAAATATTATTATAACCTATTATGGATAAAATAATATAATTTTCCCCACTAAATCTTAACCTTAATCTATACATTTTTCACTAAATCGTAACCTTAATCTCAGTCTTTTTCTTTCCTTCTTTTTTTTCATAAATATAATGGCATAATTGCTACTACTACTAATAATAGTAAAATTAATAATAATACTATAAAATAAGCATTGTGTATGTTTTATTATTACTTTAGTACTTATGTCAAAAAGTGAAAAAACAAACAAGATTTTAAAAATTAAGAATTGAAAACAAATTTATTTATAGCTTTGATTTGAGCAAAGTTAAAAATCGAACACATTAAACACCATGGTCTAATCGGTTATCGGTTTATCTTTATTGCTTTGCACGTCTCTTTCATAACACTGAAAATGTGATTTTTAGCAGTTAAGCAAGTGTTTTCTTCTTTTCAGTAGTCTGTTCACAATTGTCCTATTTTTTTGTTTCAGGTCATGGACCTCGACTGTCCAAAGCCAACCTCTTCACATTGTTGAGTCTTTGGATGGAACTTTTCCCAAAGAAAGAACCACAGCAACGAGAGAATGATGCTGTAGGCATATTTTCATTTCCTCTAAAGCAATCCTGTGTGTTTCAAAGACATTGAGCTTAAATGCAGATGAGATGATATTAAGAAAAAAAATGTTACAAATAGTATCTACCAGTGTAAAATGTCAGGTTTTTATTTATTTATGGAGAAAACTGTTTCCCACATGAGTCCCTGTTGTACGTATAATGACTCGTGTGCTCTAAATGAGATTCTAATGAACTTGTAGTGTGTATGAACTGGAAAGGCTGCTACATCCTTTGACTCATTGGCTGTATGGATATATAAATAATTAAAGGTATCATATTTGCATCCAGACTGGGGACACTGGTCTTGTAGTGGTCCATGAGCGCATGGTTCTGGGTCTGCATTGCTCCAGTGCGCAGTTACATGCAGGACAGGTGGCTGTGGTCAAACATGGCCCCAGACTGAAGGGATGTGATCTCTACTTCTCCAGAAAACCCTGTTCAACCTGCCTCAAGATGCTCATCAATGGTAAGATCATACCTGCACTGTATAACTATATTTCAAATAATTAAAAAAAAGTTATGCATATAATATTACATTTAAAATAATCTTATATTTCATTTATTTTATAAATTTTTCACAAATTTATATTTGACTGCCTATCTTACCCCTTGTTGCTACCCTCTCTCTCCTCTTCTTTATTCAGCTGGTGTGAGCAGGATATCATACTGGCCTGGTGATGCTGAGATCAGTTTGCTATCAGGTAGACATGATCATACTGACTCCAGTCACCAGGAAGCCATCTTAGATGCAACAGCTGCAGAGAGACTGAAGTCTAACAGCAGACCCCACATCTGTGTGCTCCTGCAGCCTCTGGACTGCACCATGCAGCAGTTCGTGGACGAAAGTTCTCAAAACTGTGACTTCCTTGGGAAGATTGCTGTGGACAATCCTACTCTCAATGTTAAGGATCTCTTTAGAAGGGAATGGTGGAACAACTTGGATGATTTCTTAAAAAAGTTCTTTATAAATGACGAGGAACAGCATAAGTATGTGCTAAACAAGATGGGACTGGAGAACTTTTGTGCGGAACCAAATTTTAGTAACTTAAGGCAGCATATGAGGAATCTCATTACGGTTCTGGCATCTGCCGCAGCAAGTGTTCCGGTTCTAGAAGAAAATTATGGTTTCTTCATGAGAGAGCCTTTAGGGATGGGTTCTCCAGCTTTACCTCAGGATGTGGTGCGACACTGTATCATACAGGCCAGATTACTGGCATGTAGAACAGGTGAATTCTGGTGAATTTTTGTTCTTTGTTTTTTTACTTATTTTTCACTTTTTTGATTAATTGACATCAAAATGTTCAGCTGATATCAAAAATCAAGAATCTAAATATGATGGCAGAAAGTGACAACATGAATCTAGTGTCCCTAAAAATGTAGAACGGTTGGCAGAAATCAGAAGCATCAGGTCTGGTTTAGTTAAAGGTAAATTAAAATGACAAGGTAACAGAATAACAACAGATCTTGTTTTCTATATTATGATGTACATCTTAGTAAAACAGTCTCTCCCGTTGCATTACATGTTATGGGGGTAAACACCTGTTTACACTGATACTGAAGCCTGATTTGTTCACGTTCGTGTAACTGCACAAACCAATGGAACTTCAACCCACCAAAAGGGGTGGAGCTGATTGCTATATAAGTCGGCTCTGAGTGCCATTTC